AGGTGGCAGCGCTGGATGGAGTCGACGCAAGGTGGTGGCGCTGGATGGAGTCGACGCAAGGTGGCGGCGCTGGATGGAGTCGACGCAAGGTGGTGCAACTCTGTAACCCAGCCTGTTCCGGGTGTGAGGCCTGGTAGAGAGATCTGATTGTGGAGGTCTCGGTTGGGTTTGAGAGGGTACCCTCCTATTTCCATAGCTCTTGAAAGGTTGGGTAATTCCACTGAGTGCCATTTTCTCAGTTTCTTCAATTTATCTAAATTGTTCTTAGCCGAAGTCGGGTAATGGCAGCCCCGGTATCTCAATGTCTGTGTGTACCTTTACGAGGGACGGACGCTGGGCCCGGTTCCCAGCATGTGTTGCTCCCCACGAATATAGATTGGAGCATCATCCGCCCACCCCCCCACAAAAAAAAAAAAAAAAAAAAAAGAGAAAGAAAGAAAGAAAACAGACTCTTGTCAACCACATATCCAATGTGTCCTGACCACAATGCGGAGACCACCTCTTGTTAAAAGCGGGTGCATATCCGACACATGTCGAGTACTGCTGAACCAGCCCTGATTAGCCATCCTTCAAAGCGGTTGCATGACACAGTGCAAACATGAATGGCACGTATCAAAAGCAGATCCTGTAATTTGCTCGTAGTAAAAACTGAAAACAAAAAAGGGAGGGAGGGAGGGAGGGGGGGGGGGGAGGGGAAGAAGGGAAAAAGACAAAACGATAACGGGAACTGCACCATGCAAGCTCAAAGAGTCGGAGAGTCAGAAAGGAAATAGCAGAGGAAAGCTTAGATGGGATTTGACAAGTCCCCAATGGACAGCTGGAAGCAGGCATGAGAGAGAAGCAAAGAGGATGCTTGTAGATGGAGAAGAAGGTAGTTAGGTGGACGGCGGTCAAGGGAAGATGGACATCTAGCAGCTGCAAAAAGGCAATGCCTCTTCATTGAAGGGTAACAAAACTTCCAGCTATAGTGACAAGAGGCATCGTTGGAGCTTCCACCCATGGACAAGGTATTGTGCTGATAAAAATACTAAAAAATGACTTTCCAGTGGATAAAAAACCGGATTGGTCTCCCTTCAAGGGTGCCTTTTTCCAAAATTAACAAAAAAGAATACTGGTCCTCATGATTCCCCCGCTGCAAACACCTCGACAGGAGAAAGGGCAGAAGGTGTGTGGGGCAGGGGCAGGGAGGGGAAAGGAAGGAACATCAGGGCAGTCGGTTCAACTGATCGGAAAACAGAGCACACAATCTTCCAGCCATCCGAGAGGCTGACTCCCTCTACCACCGACTAGGAACAGCACGGCAGCAAAGCTCAAGACTAAAGATTCTCATCTTCACAGTCGTCTGGCACATTCAGCTTTTCGATTGCCAGCTTAATGAGGTTCGCCTCATTCGAGGATGGCTTGAGGTCCAGAGCCATGCAGAACTGCACCATGGCCAGATCGGGCTTGTCCAGCTTCTTGTAGATCTTGCCCATCGCGAAATACACGCTCGCCTCCCGTGGAGCAACTTCCTTCAGTCTCTCCAGCTCTGCCAAGGCTTCCGTGTACCGCTCCTCCGCCATCAGAACATTGGCCTTCTGGAACTTGGCGAGGGGGTTTTTGCTATCCATTGCGATTGCCGTTGACAGCAGAGCAAGCGCCTCGCAATTCCTCTCGAGTGCGTGCAATGCCATGCCTAGATAACAATACAAGACGGAAGAGCTGTGGTTGATGGCCAGGGCTCGCCGGAAGTGATACTCGGCGAGCTCATACTTCTCCTGCCGGTAATAAATCGTTCCCAGCCCGTACCATGCATTGTAATGCCGGCTGTCAATCCTGATTGCATTCCGATAGCAGTGCAAACCTTCCTCAAAATCCTCGATGGCTACGTACTCGTGACCGCAAAGAGTGTGCGCATACGTGAAGTTGGGATGCAGTTGTAGCGCTCGCTGAAAGAACCGAAGAGCCGTCTCGTGTTCCCGCTGCAAACTAAAACAGTTACCGATGATACACCATGATTGTGGAGACAGTCGATCCAGCGCCACCGCTTCATGGGCAAGATGTGCCAATTCCACTTCCTTCTTCATGTGGTAAAGAACGGTAGAGTAGAGGTCCATACCCTCGAGCCTGTGGGGAGCCGTACGACGGGCCCACTGAAATGCGCGCTCTGCTTCCGCATACTCAACCATTTCCAAGTACGCCCTCCCTACTTGGCACAGCACCCAACCCGTCGCGTACTGTGCAGTCGGTAGTTTTAGGAACATGTCTGCAGCATCCTGGCATCTGAACATACAAAGTAGTCTGAATCCCTCCCCCATTATGCGAAGCAAGCTGAAAGCTTCGAGTGCCCCTGAGTGCGTTCTTCCTTTCCCAAGGGCATACGTAGCACCAATGCCCACAGCTCCTTGGTTGTCATGAGGATTGTCACCATCTGCACCCGCAGAGCCCAGTGTTGTTGTCGCCGGGGCACTTCTCGCGCCTCCTCCCCTAACCAACGCCCCAGCTTTTGAATGGGGATGAACCACGCTCCCATCTTCGTCCCCAACTCTAGATGCGCTCCGTCCTCTAAAAGCTCTGCTGCTTCCGCTGCTGCTCATAGACCCCAACCCAGCCCCACCCCCACCCCCACCCCCATCGCTGCAGACTACACCCCCATCTCCACCACCATCCAGACCTCGCCTCCCAATCTCCTCAGCATCCACAAGTCCTGCAGAAGTCCCAGACCCTCTCTTTGTGCTCACCCGCCCTGACACCCCAACAAAGCTGCTGCCCTTTCCCACTCCCACAGCCGGTGGAGCTGCTCCTGTTGAGGCACCCGAAGGACCTGACGCGACGCCTGCTGATGTTCCAGGACCACAGGGCCCTACAACACCTGCACTTGCACCAGCTGCCGATCCTACACCCCCACTCACTAAGCTACACGAAGGCCCTGGACCCCCTCCTTGTCCTGCCCCTAGGACTGCTCCCCCTTCCGCCAAACGCGAACTCCTCCTTACCCCCGACAACGATGGTTCCGCAAACAGTCGCCCAGACACCTTACGCAACTTCCCCTCGTCAACAAATTTCCGTCGATGTCCCGTTGGTGCCTGCACTCCGACCGCCACCTTGGGAGCAGATCCGTCCCCACTACCAGCAGCCATGCCCACGCCTGCCGCCCCTGCAGAATGTCCCGCACCCCCTGACACACACGTACCTGGCATCGCCCGAGGCAGGGCGGGAGGAGCGAACATCACTGGAGGTGCAACAGGCGAGGGTGTCACGTACGAAGAGGGAGATGCCAGTACAGAAGACGACAGACCAGTCCCATCCCCAGGATTTGCAGAAGGCGTGGAACTCTCCATCCCTGAGGTAGATGGAGCTGCAGTAGATGGCGCTACTCGAGAGGCATGATGCTTCGAACCACCAATCGGAGTGCGGGAGTTGTAATCGAACTGGTCAATGTCGACTACCCCATCTCCTCCTCCGAATCCCTGGTGGCCACCATACACGTTGGCAGCAGCACCGTATTGCCCTTGATGAATGGCTGAGATTGCAGCGTCACCGTAAAGCGCTGCAGCTTCTTCCTCTGCTCCAAGCTGGCACAGCTCTTCATACGCACACCAGAAGAAGGGGTCAAGTGACAGAGCGGCACTGTAATGAGAAATGGCATTCTGCCTGCGATCGGTGAGTCGGCTAATGACACCTAACAGGTAGTGACCAGCTGCCCCATTGGGCACATCAGCGCTGCAATCATCAGGGGGTAGCAGCGCCGCCTCAGCCTCCACCAGTTTATTCAAATCCATGCATGCCAGCGCATATAAATACCGCGACTGAGGCGACTTCGCACCTTTCAGCACGAGGTATGCCCTCTGTGGCTGATTCGATCGGTAGTAACATGTGCTAAGCAGGTGAAGATTGCTCTCAGTGGGAAATCCCGCATAGAGCCTCTCACACAAGAAGGTCGCATTTGAGTACATGTACAACCGCAGCGACTCACACACGCAATCCACTAGGAACGCCTCCATTACCCCCGTACGCAGCAGGCAGGCAGGCAGGCAGGCAACACTGTCTTCGCTAATCGAGTGATCTAACAAACGGACTCATCCTACATCAGGAAAAGCATGCATTTTGCCTCCTTAACCACCCACCCCCCTCCGGACCCTGTCCCCTAGCCCCCTAGACTCTGCTGCCCATCTATATGCCCCCACCAAGGAACAGCCTGCAAGCCCCCTACACTCTGCTGCCCATCTACGTTCCCCCACCACCGAACAGCCTGCCACCCCCCCCCTCTACCCTCCGACCCTTGGATAAATCCCGATGCTCCCAAGAGTAGCCCCTCCCTAAAGTCTGGGCATGCCTCCGCGCACACACAGACGCCTCTTGCACGTTCATGGACAAAACCTCAATTCACTCTTCACACCAGGGCAGAACCCCATCCTATGCTGGAATCCTCTCTACCACTCTTCACACCAGGACCCCCCCCCCCCCCCCCCCCCCCCCCCCCCCCCCCCCCCCCCCCCCCCCCCCCCCCCCATCAGGCCAAAACCCCATCTTATGTGCCCCCCCCCCAAGAGAGAATCTGTCCTTCCCCTCCCCCTCCTCCTTTTTCTCTATGTCTTCCTCCCGCCAATGTTCAAGCAAATGCGCAACATTGCATTATTTACCACCAGAGAAGCAACACGCCAGACTGTGTACAGTTACAGCAGACGCCCATATCCATAGGCATCTTCCTCTTTCCCGCCAACCTCTTGGATGTCTGACACCATGCCGTTCTATCTTCAGCACCAAAGCCATCGCCAACGGGAACGCCTCGCGTCCTGCGGATAGATCAAGACAACGAGAAGCAGTAGTTAAGGCACTCGGCTGTTGAGCCAGAGACTGTAGGTTCAATTCCTTGCGGGGTCGACCAAAGAGACAAGCACAGATCAAAACAATGAAAAGCGGAAAGTTAAGAGCGGAGTTCATTCACGAAACAGAATCAACAAGTGCACAAACCTCATCTGCATCAGACGATACTGACACAGCAGCAAGGTCCATTGGCAAGCAATCAGTCTCGGCGATGCGTCTGTCTGCTTTTAAAAGTTGGCACGAAACGAACCTGGCCATCTTCACAATCAGGTTCACGCTTCCTTGCCACGAAACATTGCATCACCCCGTGATAGGGCCTGTCCTCCCCCACCCGACCAGTCCGTCAACAACGCCGGGCTAAACGATGCACTACAGGCGCTAACCTGATCGTCAGAGATAGCCAAATCCTCTCTCGATGGGGAT